AGAGCGTTTAAAATGAAAGAAAGACCGATCAAAATCTTGTTTCAAACTAATCCATCTTAGAGCGCTTTTCACTTTTTAAAATGCTCAATGCACATGCATTTACACGAGAGCATACAAAATAGCAAATGTTTTCTTTACTGTAAATGTTCAGAGTTTAATAGTACATTATAAAGTATAAATCGCAATTCCACAATCTTCAACTTTATCTTTCTCTATTGACAATAAGTGTCTTTCTCGCCTAATAATTTCTAAATATGTTTTCTGAAGTTTATTTTTAATACTTTTCTTAATATGCGAATAGACTACGAAATGAGAAGTTCGTTGAGACTTCCTGCAAATAAAAATTTGCTTCCGGTTAGGTTTCCTACTGAAATTAGCAATTGTTTTAGATTTCACACCTCAAAGGTTTCATACAAGGGGATCCCCAGATATGCATATTCTTATAGAAGCACATATGTACGTGTAGTGATTCTATGTTTCTCACTGCGGTGGGGTATTGGTCAGAATTATGGACTGCAAAAACTTCAAGTTTTGTAGAGAATCGTAGTATAGCTGGAACCCGAGTGAGAGCTGACTTTATGGAAAACCTTGTTAGTTTCTCACAAATAAATTTTTGAAATTTATGCTACAATGGATGGTAAAGCATACTTTTTTGCAGCGATTCAAGTATTTTATTCTGTAGTATAAGATATTTTCTTCTCTACGGTAAAAACATGTTCAGAGCTCTGGAACGTTTTAATTTCCAAGCAACATTGTGCTTGGCAAGAGTATGCAAAGTAAACTCTGAGATCAGAAGAATATCGCAGCGAAATTCTCCATATAGATCTTGAACCTTAACTTTTTTATGAACAAGAACGAACGCAGGGTATAGAGAACAACTGGATGGATTAAAGGAAATTTTTAACATATGGATAATTGTCATTCTCATTTCGCATAGAGTGGTGCAGGCTAGCATATTTTATTTGAGGTATGAGTCATTATCTGTATGGCTGATATCCGTTTTCAAACGAATAACACTGGGAATAGATATGGAAGAAGATTAGAAGATTAGTTTACGCGTGTAATTCAACCCACTTATTTACAAAGAACTTTGACTGCATTTTAGGTCAGCAAAGGTGGGTAGTGAACATTGGATGAATATCA